GTAAACGAGCAGACGGATCACCTGATGGAAAGCAATCGGCGTCGCCCATGGACACCTGGAACACCAGAGGCGTTACAAGTGCGTTACCGGCTATTTGTGGATTAGGAGTTTGAGGATTGTTGGGGATTCAGGGATTGGGGAGATTGGGGAAGGGGAGGGAAATTGGGCCTCCGGTAACCTCACTCACGCGACGAAACACAATGCAAGCGTTGCTTCACGTCGATTTTCTGTGAGGCCGTGGTATCACTCCGGTCGAGCCGGCCCATTCGTGCCGAAGCATGGCTCTCCCACACTTAAAACGTAATGTGCATTACGACTAATGAACCGTGATAAACATATATACTGACCATCCTTAGAGTATCCCTCAGCACAGCCGCAGGTCTCGACGCGCACCAGCTGCAGCTCTATCGACCGGATCGGCACCGAGCACTCGTCCACTCGGATCTGTAGAGTAGATAGAACACTAAGTACTGACTGAATGCTGCAGCACTCGGCATACAGTGGAGGTAGCTCACCTTGCCAGTGAGCGGGCTGTCGAGGGCGCAGACGGTGGAGTGTATCTCTGCGTAGACCTGGAAGTGAGGCATGGGCCGCGACCCGCCCCCGGCCGCGCGGATACTGGCCGGAGTGATCTCACAGCGAACCGGCTTCATCGGCGCCGGATCTTGCTGGGAGGGAAACATATATACATATTCAAATAGTGTAACGCGGCAATTCCATTTCGGTTTGTGTTGGACGCACACGTAAAACTCTAGCGGCAACACACCACCTCACTATTCCTCTTCCCCCGCTTTCCCGCCACTGACTGCTCGACGCCTACTTAGGAGCGTCACGACATAACGAGCCCCGCGCAGGAGCCATGACGCACGCGTCCGGTATTTGTACCGCGAATATTTGAGTTTTGTATTGATATAGTGATGGTAATATTGTGCAACTTTGTTTATGTTTAGTATAAAGTTTTTATCCAATATACATCTTGGCAGTCAATCGTGTGTCAAATTATTTTCCACGCCCCTGAGAACCTAATAGGCAACTAATACCATTATTATTGTTGATTAAACTTGTTATTTTTGATATGATTATTACAAGCATTTCTTCAACTGATTTCATGACACAACTAATTTAAATTTTATTTAATTACCTGTCTGTATTGCACGAAAAACTGGCAACTAGCATTCACTGGCTTGTTCAGAAATGATCTCTTCATGTTACATTTGAGTGTGTACATAATATTTACAAAGACTCCATGGTATGTTTCCAACAAGCCTGGGTACCCGGGCGACACAGCCTGGCGTGCGCGCAGTGGCATCTCAAATGGAATCTCTGTCACTCCTACGGGGATCTTGCCCGGTGGCACCAGCTCAATGCATGTGTTGATAAGGTTTATAGGCTGAAATGAATTGTATAATGTATGTATTCTTTCAAAAACCCATACATCTTTAGGTTTAAAAGATAGGTAAGTATATTTTGAAACAACATTATGAATAGATGATTGGATTAGAGCCCTACACTTTATTTGTATATTATTGATGGGCCAACATTTGGCCACTCTCTCGCCAATTAAACTAATATTTTATTCAATTCAATAGTGTTATTCTCCTTGGTGGCATATATAAATAATAAAATGTTCATGGATCAGAGCACTTGGAGGAATCAGACATAGGAACACTGGTTCACCAAAGTTGGCGTTTAAATGAAGTGAGTAAAATTTTACCTTGATAGAGTTAGAGAATGCCTCAAAGATGCCCACATTCTTTGTGCTGAGCTGTAGATTGACAGACCCCTCCATAGTGAGAGACAAACCTTCATGTCTCACATCACTGTTACTTTCCACTACTACCACTCCCGCGATAGTCTCCTAAAACCATAACACCAGTGATATACATATAGGGAACAAAATGAAGTTACACTGTGTTCTAATTTTTTCAAATATTCTGAGTTATAAACAAACGAAGCATGTCAGCTAAGTAGATAAGAGTTATTCTTTTGAAATAAAGGAGTGTGAATGGATACTTACACCCTCATGATAAACTTTACTCGCTCTTTTTAAAATGATTGCTACTGAAACTGTTGACATCTTGCAAATTTTATATTTCAATTAAAAGCAAAAAAGGATATAGTAAAAGTAGAAAGTATTTTTTATACTTCTTCGTTCATTCGACCCAATAACATAACTTTAAACTGCTGTTTTTGTTCACTAATAAACAATAAACATAACAAATTGAGTCTTTCAACTTTCATTTGACACAAACACAAGTTGATTTAGACCATAGAATTTAGACTTTGACATGAGTTTTTCGATCATCAACAATGTCAAGTTAAACAATACGTTTTGTTTTGCTAAGAATATACGTTTAGAAAGTTATGAACTTATACCTATTATATACACATCCAAACGAAAATCGGATTATATGATATTATTATGAATCAATCAATTTATTTTGACAAAATAATTGAATAACTTCTTTATACTTTTTAATTAAATAATTTTATTGTAGCCGAAAAGAAATAAACCCAGAGCCTATGAAGCTAAACGTAATTCTGCTTTATAGCGATTGGTTCATAATTTTTCCAACCCTAATGGATTGGTTACAGTATTGAAGACGGACTGATTCGGTTGGTAAATATTATAATTCATTTTAGACATAATTGGACAATATTATTGCCTATTCCGTTGGTTTGTGATGAATATTTAAGCACTTCGTTTTTGTTTGTAATGTTACATACAATTTTTAACCTTATGTTTAGGAAATGGAACACAAAATACAAATACCAAAACCTTTTCTTAAAGTTGAGTTTGTGTAAACATTCTTATTCGGATCATCAATTCCAGACTACGGAGTCTACTATTACTATGAATACTGAACATATATTTTTATTTTCTAGAATTAATAATAACTATTACACAATTAAATATATACAATACAAGATAAAAATTAATATATACAACTTAGTTTGTGTTATATTATTTTACTCTATGGTGTAAACGTAATGTTCTACGTCACACTATTCTGACATGCGCACAACAGCGGGAAACTGATGTCAAATTAAATGAAATCAGTTGAAGAGTAATGTCCGCCAGTTGCGGTCGGCTTCGAAACATCTTGATGTAATAAATTTACGATTTATATTTATTTTGTTTCGTTCCTAAACCTAAAATCGTGTTGTTCTAGTTGCAAATATTGTGCATTTGTGTCGACGGTACAGAGTTCTTCTTTTACGGATTTACTCGAACAGGTGATGTCGATAAGGGCACTTCGAATGGATCGATATCGGTGACTTTGAGTTGGGCGAAAAATACGAAAAGAAAAGGGTTGTTATCATGGAGAAGTCCGCTCGGCCACGGACAGCTCTCAATGAGTGTGTGAAGGTGGTGGTTCGATGTCGGCCGCTCTCGGAGAAGGAAAAGAATGAGGGCTACGAGGAGGTGAGTCCCTTGTAGTTGATATTGTTTATGTCGGGCACCAGGCTGCGCAGACGAGCTGCGTCGCGTTATCCTGCCTACAATACCAGCTAAAATATTATTATTAATATTTACTAGATATTGAGAAAAACAATCAATAAGTAGGTACTTATATTGAAACAGTTTTAGTGTGATTATTTATCTCGGTAATTAAAATATATTTTATATAAATGATACTTATGCTAAAACTATTATTGTAAACACAATAATTATTTTACTCTTAGGTACAGAGTAAACACTCAGTATACACTCTTCAAGTAAATGCTATATTTTATTTTAAATTTAGTCTGGAACCTGTATCTGTTTCTACCTCCTTATGTTTTTATAAAGTATGCACAGCTCATAAAATTTACCAAGAGTCAAAATAGAACTTTATTGTTATTGAATATTACTTGAATAAAATGTATCTAATAAAATACTCAAACCAAATGAATTAACAGTTAACTGGTAATTTGTTTTAAATTTGATTATTATTAGATTATAAATTTTGTACTTTAACAGCTATGTAATATAACTATAATAATTTAATACATATAATAATATTATTATGGTAGTTTCAAATAAAACTTCCATTTATGACATGATAACTTTTTGCAACATTGATATTTATTTGTATTAAGTATATTAATATTATACAAATACATAATAAGAATAACATAGGTACTTATTTAACTTGTTGAGTACAATCATTATAGACACAATTAAAGAACAATAGGTTGCGGTCACCGGTGACCGCTCGGTGTATATATATTACAGTTGACATTATTTCTAGATTCCCTAATACAACTATTATTACTGGAAACAATTTATTTTCAATTTTGAAACTGCATTTTTAGATGCCTATTGAAAATGTGTGACAATTGGTACTGCCACACATTTGGACTACCTTAAATACTACTACACAAATACAAATCCCCAATGCTTTAGGTAGTAGTTAGTTCTTTATTTCGATCGACTTGCTTGTTGATAAAGACTATAAAGTACCTATTATAGTAGAGTTGTAGCTGAAACCATATCAAATGTGTCCTGGATGCTGGAGGCTTGTACCTCCATCTGATATAATTGTACAGGATAGACTACTGGGCTTTGATTCATGCCACTAGGTGCATGAATCATGCTCTCAAGAAAATAAGTGTTTTTTTTTTTTTTTTTTTTTTTTTTTTTTTTTTTTTTTTTAAAAAAAAACGTTGCCCCACACTAGGATTTTCTCCTGTGTCGTGGGTGCGTTTACAAACATGGATCACACAAAGTGTTGTTCCGTGCGGGAATCGAACCCGCGACACGTTGCTCGGCAGCCGGTTACCCAGCCACCGCACCAACCGTGCAGGCAGTGTTGTTTATAAACTTGTGATTGCATTTATATTGTCTGAAAGCATTTATTTACCTTGGCCATACAAATCTGATATCAGAAATACTTGTTTATTTTTGTTGTCTGAAATTCACCCTTGGTCTGCTGGAATGTAAGGCTGTATGTTACACAATGAATGATCCATTGTGTGCCCTGGTCATAAATAATGTAGTTATTAACAGTCAAGAAGTACAGTCAGTTCTGAACATAGAAATGTTCAGAAATAAATATCAATGTTTTTATTACTTGAATATTTATGGCATGACTAATAAATACATGGCAGTGGCATGCAAAAGAAACCAACAGAACATAGGTACTTAATAGGTATCTAAGAATATTTTTCTCACTTAACATAAAATATAAATATAAACCACATATTTTATTACTTGGAAACATTATCCACACAACGTTAAAAATTATATCTGATAAAATGCATTATTATCAAATGAAAACACAAGATCATCCACATGATATAATTCGTAATTTACGTATTTGCTGTTACTAAACCAAATACCTACATAAATAATAACAGTTCAAAGTTAACCAACCTTTGCTATGAATTTCATCTAGTTAGATCGAAAATATTTATTGAAGGCTTTTTTTATTACGCAACTGAAGAAAGGGTGAAAATTAATATAAAAGGAATTGGTCTAGTTATTCAGACGTAAAATACAATCTAGTAAGATAAAAAGCACTATAACAACAACACTACCTGCCTACATTATGTGAGGATCTGCCTAGGTAACCTGAGCTCATCTTCTTACTTGTTACACGTTACACATGCTGACTTTCTTACCACCTACAGAGATGAGTACCTCGTCATAATTATGCTTCGGCGATCTCGGACAGGTTCTACTAAGTAGGTTTAATTACACAAACGTGGTCCTGACGCTAACTGACGAGTCTCTCAGACAAAGCAGTCCGCCTTGTTCTGCGAGCGCAGTCCTGCATCGTTAATTTAACACTAACACGACATTTGCGATGGTAATTTACTCTGTATTGCAAGTGTTTACGAATGCTTTAAACATTTACCCTCCTTATACGTTTTGTTTACCTTTGGTGATGCCTTCATGCCTAGCGTACTTATTCACGTTTTACTTCTGCATGAAAGTATTTGTTCATCAGTCCCAGTGGATCCCTCGCAGCACCACTCGGCTATCGCATTTGGGATCAACAAGCTTCTATTCTTTGTTTATCAAGAGACAGACGATTGTGTCTTGCCAAAATTAAACGAATTCTGGGAAAGATTCACAGTTTTATATAAATATATATACAAATTTTAATAACTCCACAAACTTTCGCTTTTACAAAATTTGTAGGATGTTAACTGAACTAATGATACGAAACACCCCAGTCGGTAGTGTCTATTGTCATCGTCATTGACCGGTACACTTCTACTATTGAGCTTGATCTTCCTCTTAAGGGGGGTTTGCCGAAACCATCATCCATGGAGGAGGCTTGATGATCAGTAAGGCCACTGAAATTTAAAGGATGTTGGTGCCCGCACCTGTCTGACTCTCACTTATCGTTTTAACCCGGTCCTCTCTGGTGTCCCCATCCCCATCCAATATGCTGTGTAACATCAGCTCTTTCCTTATCTACTCCTAAATAAGCGGCTCTTCTCCTACTATTTATTTATATATTTCTACCAACACAAATGCTGATCAAGTTCTCACACTGGTCTCACCTACATAGATAATATTTATACATAGAGATAGATTTGATTTCTGTTACTTAGTTCTTCCCTTACGTGGGTTCGTTATTATTAGGACTCAGCGATAATGTATTACATTATAGATCACTATATCCTCAGTTTCGAAGAATATATTATTATCACATAAAGTTGTTATAGATGTCATGTGTTATTTGAAACGTAAGTAGGTGAGCAGTAATGCAGTAATGTCCATAAGTGGCTGTGCCATATTAGGCGCAGATCATCTGGTACACGCGACCTTCTGCTGCCCGCAGCCTCACGACAACGCACCTCGCTTTGTATTGTATCACACGCAATCAATCTTTGCCCAACTGTGAATATTCACTTCGGACGATATTAAGGTTATTTTAGGGTCCGGGTCACTTCAGGATCAGCAGGCAGGTAGGGTAAAAACTCTCAGGTCAGTTCAAAATAGTGTTGAATTTTCTGAAGCAATACTAAAATCGGAAAAATAAGTTTTAACTATTTGCTTGTATGTTTGTATCTCCGAAAACATATGTTCATTGAGTACAATATACAATAGTTACGATGGATTGTGTATTTCACGCTCTCCCGAGTCGGTCCCTCATGTCCAACTTGTCTGGGGATCATTGTCAGCCTTAGTTGCATTTGGAGCGAATGTCCTGCTTCCACCAGCGTCCGTCTAGCGCGTCTCTTACTACGGAGTAGAATTTAGGGATCAATGAATTTTTCTTTTTTTTACTTGAATTCCATGCAATAGTTACTATGATACTTCCAATTTTGCAACCACTGCTGTATTTCTGTACAAGCAGCAGCAGAAGCAGCACAGCCTGCAGAGCGCAGACAAGTCGTCGTGTATTCTGTATTAAAATAAAATGCAGTAGATATCTCACGTTGGTAGGTAGGTATCGGTATTGTATTGAACTGAAACCATTGTCAGGTAACTGCCTGTATTTTTGGAGCAGTCCTCTTTTTCTGAATAGTGTACTCGACGGCCAGATGCCAACACGAGTTTTTGTTGCGGTGAAACCTAACCAGCGGTTAGCGGTTTCTGTCTACAATTTGGTCGCAAATATTTAACTGCTTTGAAATCGAGCATCGACCTTGGAAGTAAAGAGATTAGTGATCATTTGGTCAGAAAAGTTGCGCAACTATTACTTTTAGGTATAATTAGACATGAAAATGTTTTTCATCGTGTCGTTTGTGGTGTGCTGCACTACTTAGTACTTAGTCAAACTGAAATAACTAGAAACCTACTTGCTCTCTGTTATGATACAAACGACGAAAATCTTGATATTACACGCATAATTAATAGATATTCTTAATTTGTCGCTATGAAATCTCTTTTTTATTAACAAAATTAAAAACTTTATGCCAATGCTAAGATAATAATTAGAAAAAAATATATAATAGGTATCCCTTACTCAGATAAAGTCATAATACAAGATGTACTCATCTCTTACATAATACTTACATTATTAATTTATTTATGAAAACTGATCGACAAAATAAATACTTGACTCATGACCACTGAAAGAAAATGAGTCTTGATTAGTGATGGTGTGATGTTGTTAATTGTAAGTGTGTCATTGATGTTTAGTTTAAAATGTTTTGTTAAATTGTGTTTAGGTGAAGAAGAAACGCACAGAGCAGACTTGGTACGAGCGGCTGTCCACTAAGACTCCGGTGGACAAAAAAGCATGTGATGTCCGATTACAGGTGTGACTGTGGCCGCGGGCCTCGTGGTGACTCGGTACTAACTCGTGCGGACGGTGACCAGCTACCAGCAGCGCACTAACACGGTGTGGTCGCAGCTACCGGCGCCAGTCGGTCGTAACTACGATCTTCTGTACTTCTGTGTACTAACTTTCCTGTAACTTTGATTTTGACAATAGTTGTGTCAGCAATTTCAAAGACATCATCCATAGTCAAGGATTTGTTGTAGCGATTTGACTAACACAGTCAGGTGAAGGCGGTTGCAGTGGTTTCCTGGAGACAAAGCCACGATTATATTGTATTCGAGCCATTCGATAGACTACCGAGGTGGTAGAACATTAATTGTCGTCTCGTCTATAACAACACGGTGGTGGTTTTGGTGGTATCGGTGCTCACTTACTCATTTGTTCAAGGAAACGAGTCAATATACGAACAAATCAATACGTCAACGCTTTCATATAACACGCGGTAGGAAACATACACTAATGTACGGTATTCGACAGTCGCTGGTCAAAAACGCACGGTCGGCTGCGTCACGTACCGACCAACTCACAATAGTTTGAAAGAAGCTGCAAACTACGAAACTGTATCGATATTGATGGTGTGGTAGAGGATGAGATACCGACGCGAGCACAATCAAAGTTAATATTGTAGGCGTAGCATTGACTACTGTCGAATGTATGCATCTTTTGCAGTTTATAAAAAGCAATAAGCAATCAGTGGTGGTGGAAGCTTATTAAACATCTGTAGAAACCCTAGTGTTGGCTTACAAAATGATTACGTAAAAAAATAACAAGCAACAAGTAATCGTAGATACTACTGTGTACGGTGTACTACAGTAGTGATCTTAAAATTGTATCTCATAACTTAGATTCATAGATGAGATAGAGTACCTGCACACACAAGCACGTCCTTTGAGGTTATCAAGGCAATATTACTTAACTCCAATCCAACGAAGACTGAAGTCACATGGCACAGGCTATTTTGGTGAAGTTGAACTTAAAAGTGCATACTATTATGTTACTTGCGTGATATAACAAAAATATATGAATATGCAATGGTATTTGTGGTAACAGGTGGTGAAGGTATGGCCGGAGCGCGGCGCCGTGCAGGTGTACAGTCCCAAGGGGCAGGACAAGATGTTCACGTACGACGCCGCCTACGACTGCACTGCCGACACTCAGACCATGTACGATGAAATGGTGAGTTGTATTCATAGTTCATACTTACACTTTACTATGGGTTAAGGATCACCTGCTGGTAAGCAATCTGCGCCGCCCATAAACATCCGCAACACCAAAGGAGTTACAAGTATGGTCGGGGCCTGTTGCGCCACTACTTACTTTTCTAAATTGCGCCCACTTGCAATTCTTGCAGATTTGCATTCATAATCAACATGATCATCATCATCATATCAGCCCAGGTTCATCCACTACTGGGTATTGGCGTCCCCTTTTTCTGTCATACTACTCGATATTGTACATCCTACATATCATCTGTTTCCAGCGACTTGAACGATATCGTCCATGCGACTAATTTTTGGACGGAATAAAGTAGTGCATGTAAATGTTTCAAAATTTAGGTATAAGTACGTATTTAGATTCTACTCGTAATGTTGAATGCGTTTTCTGAATGATTACTCATGAAATTACTTATGGTTTAGTGAGTACGGAGGCTATTGAACTTATTTTCGTGTCGGGCTTTACTTACCATAGCAATTTTGTCTATTTTCATCATAATTATGTTATTCAGTTGATGTGCGAAGTAGGAGATGGTAAGTGTAAACTATATATTCCGCATTTATTAATAAAGCGTGTGTATAAAGTATTGGCTAATTTTGTTATCTTTGTGAGCTGCAAGGAGCAGATATTTTAGATTTCATTTAGTAAACACAGAACGTTGTAATATTCGACTGATGCACAAAAAAGACGTGGTTAATAGTGGAAGTGTGTCAGTTTCAGCGGAGCGTTGTATAATATATCGTAAACGTATGAATATCAGGAGAAATCCGCGAGTACGTCCGCGCGCGGCGCATTCCCTCGCGCTGTGACGTCGACATCGACACAATACTGCTACTGCTGTACGTAGGCACTCGTTAGTATTGCCACTGCTGCCAAAAACATTACTTCCAGGAGCCAAAACCATAACGGCCGCAGTCGATTCTGCTTTCTTAAAAAAAACATAATTTATTATTTGTAAGAAACAGTTGACGTCGTTCCTTATTTCATACTTCTGTAGGTATTCAGTGCCATCTTATTATAAATCGGTAATCGGTTGATTTGAAAGTTAACATCAACCCCACGCTTTAGGATGTATTAAGCACTGAGTGAGTCAACAGTTCGAAATCACATTTTCATCAGCTAATCAATAAGTAGTAGATAGTGCAGAGAGTCACATTTATAGTACAAACACAAATTATTAGGTAATTAAGTACTAGGAAACTAGCGATAACATCGTGGGCAGAGAGAGGTAAGTACTTACAGCATGGCCTTCGTAATGCCAATTCACACAAAAACCTCATTGTACGCAAAAAGCCTTCAGGTACCAATCAGTCTGACTAATGGCATAAACCTTACCCATAAAAATTAGTTCTGTAGCTTTTTTGTATTTTGGCGCGGACTTAACTCAAGTTGTAATACTTATGTTTAAGTTTGATGTAGTACCTACTGCTGTCAATATAATACGACGCCCTCGACTTGTTGTTGAGTGTTGTCGTCGTCCAGGTAACGGTGGCGCGGCCGTCTGATTACCCATGTGTTGCTAGTTCCAGACCCCGCGACTCCCGCAAGTGAAGATATCTTTTACGACATTTATTTATCAAGGACGGTCCCTTGACATTACACCATTTTACCTGAACAAAGTAAACAAGTCTGGGTCGTTCTACGCCTTGTGTTTACATCCGTAGAGTTATGTCTAGTCTAATTCAAGCTAGCTAAATAATGCAATACTGTCGGATCAAACCATGATCAACATCTTCAAGAAATATATTCCTGTATAATTTACAAATGACAGTACCTTCAAGTACACTTTACGGTAAATATTAGTTTCGCAATGGTACTGTGAATGGCAGCATGTACGGAAGTAGGTTCGCCAATGCTGAGGGCGGAAGGTGGCATCGTGCAGCTACCGCGAGCCTCCTACGTGCAGTGTTGTACCACTTTCAATAGCTGGCATTGACAGCATCGAAGGTCTCTTCAATGTTACCATGTTTTCTTCAAAACGTTGTGATTCAACCACAGCGCGTAGGTGGCGGTATCTGCTGGAAGGGGCAACCTCGCCACGGCGCGGCGATTAAGTACGTTGCTTTGTGATGTGCTGATGTAAATAACAAGTTTTCGAACCTATCAACTTCACTTGTCATGTATACCGCATTTGCTGGCGCTTTGCAATCAGTAACGGTTTAGTATTCTAAGTACTTACTTCACTAAGCTCGCATTATAAACCACTATATGATTGGATAGCCTCCAGCGAGACCAAAACTCATTTAATACTACAATAGAGATAGACAAAGCGCATTGTGGGAACGATTGCAACGAATATGACGCGTGCACCTGCATGGTGTATTGTGTAGATGTATATCGGAAACCAGTGATTCTACTAAGATAACATGATTCAACGAATGTCAACAACCGTAAATACAATAAAAAAACATTGTTCTGAAAAAGGTCGACATCGACACGGCAATGTGAAAGAATGACGTCATTGCGAGCTCTGAGCGCATCGCATCCAAGGTAGTGAGGCCTCGTAATGTGGAGCATTGGTTGGCAGCTGTGTCACTGTACAACTAGACACCACTACGCTGTGGGGGGCTGCGGCTCCACGTTACATACGCCATTAGGGAGATCTCTCTGTTAGCTGTTTACAGCATCTATGGTGACTCATCTAGAAAGAAAGAAAGAAATAAATAAATAAATAAATAAGAAATAAAGAAACCGAAGGTACTAGGGATTGCTCCGTCTAAGCAAAAACTTTTGTCACTTCTTACCTAACTACAAACAAAGTCCTAAGTAACCACAATAAAAAACAAAGTAAATACATTGCACAAATGAGAATACTTAGATATTTTGTGCAAAAACATTATTATATAAGACGATTATAGTTCGTTTAACAGCGTTGAGTGACCCCTTGATATATTTGTATTCCGTAACTACCAATGTAAGTATGACTGAGTGTCTCCACGACAGGACTAATTTAGCAAGTAAGTATTGAGGAAGAGTAAGGTACCTACGTCGGTACTCAGGAGAAGGGGCTTTCATATGGATGTGCCTGTCGTGGTCGTCCGAATCATCATTCTTAGTCAAATTGTATAGCTGTTGGTTTTCCAGATGAATAAATAAATTATCATCTTCATAATCGTCGTCATCAACTACAACTCGAAATATTACATAATGCTTTAGCATTAAATGAGGTTATCATGTGTGACACAGTGTGGTTGTTCCAGGTTCGACCGCTGGTGGCATCCGTCCTGGACGGGTTCAATGGCTGCGTGTTCGCGTACGGGCAGACCGGCACGGGCAAGACGCACACCATGGAGGGCACGGCCGACCACGAGGGCATCATCCCGCGCGCCTTCCGACACATCTGGGCACACATCGAGAACAGCGCCTCGCCCGACGTCACGCACCTCGTCTCCTGCTCTTACATCGAACTCTACCTCGAGGACGTCAGGGACCTGCTCTCTAAGGACTGCAAGAAGTTGACCATCAGGGGACAGGTACCTACTTCTTTTATGTTTCAAATGAGATGGAACATGTGTTCTAGGAAACGTTACGTCTAATCAATATAGCCATTAAAGTACGCGTGCGGCCGCTGGTCGCGGACTGGCGGGAGTCGCAGGTCACTGTGTCTGTAGCTCAATACCAGAACGATACCACAGTACTGTGACGTCACTAGCTCGCCCGTCACTGCCTCACTATGGACGTCGCTTCCTTCCATTCTCCACAGTAATGAGCTCCGTTGCACTTGGCATCACGCCAGAACGATAATATTTTATCACGAATCTTACGCGCATACGTCACTCAAAGTATAAAAGCTACTAAAACTTTTAATTTGGCAAATGTTTCCAATAGAAATAGCTATGAGCTCATTGCTCGCGCTCTGCACGAGCGTAACCTAACTCTATAAATCGTCACGATGAACATCCGAAATGTTTACACTTGTATTATCATCACACAATACGCTATTGTAACATTTATTGCAGCTCGTGTAAGAACCAGTGTTTTTTTAAAAAAACAGGTGTAGTTAATTTCTTTATCTATCTCTCTTGAACCTTTCAATAAGTTGCGGTCAGGTTTATGTCTCGTCATGACGTCACTTGCCCAAACAACTCAATCATACAACTAAAAACAAAATGGGTGAAACGACATTATTGTGTTGCTTGCCACATTGTGACACTAGCCAAGTAGTCGCCATTACGTAATGACTGCCATTAAACTTCATTTATCATGGTAATTTCCTGAAACATCACGAGAAAGTAATAGGAACCTAGTGGTTGTCTGACCCGAGACGGTATTCCGGGAGTTGGAGGATCTCGTGATCTGGAATTAAACAGCCTGTGAGAAGATGATCTTAATAAAATGAATAAATTGTTAACGTAATGAAGGCACCATGACATGTGTGTGCATAGAACTGGGCTCTAATCACATGATGTAAGCGGGTCGCGACCATTAGCCAGTATGTCGCGGTACCTTGACCATCGCGGTACTCCCAGCGAGCTACTGTACCGAGCTGACCCACCGGGTCAAGGCACTTTAAAAAAAGTGTTTTAACTTGGTACTTAATTTAAGAGTAGCATCAACTGTAAATCTGCCACATGTCAATGATAGAGCTATTATTACATCAGTAACTGTGCCGGTGTCTTGGCTAATAAACATATCTTATTGCAATTTAATAATGTTAAAATTAGACTAAGAAAACTAACCGGCAGTGATACTGCTGTCGGTGGGAATCCATTGATTAATACTAAATAGTGTCTCTCCTGTTGAGGAAATTACTTCCGCTGTACATGACAAAAGCATTTCTACAAATATTTGCTTTGTGTCAATTGATTGTATAAATTCTCCAGTTTGACAATATGGGTGCAGCCAATTGTCTATTTAAGTATTTATTTATACAGTTATGACGTTTAGAGCTTAGACCGTATGAGGCGAGAGTGCATTAAGTATAATTCATCACTTTCCTATATAGTGGTGATTCATTGCCTGAAAGTGATGTCTACCGTAAAAATTGGCGATTATTACTATTTTCCAGAAGAGTAAATTCAATCCCTAAAGTCCTAATTATGTAGTCTAGATTAGAGACAATCAGCTGTTAGTATTAGATGTAACAGCTGGGGTAGCTTGTGGCCATATACCTACACGTAATGGTGTTATCTACACCTCGCCGTGTACCGGTGTGGGGTGGGCAGAGTGGGCACTTCTCGCTACTCGCTAGTACAAGCGCCACGTGTCGCGTGTCGCGCGGCCGTCGCCTGGCGACGCGGCGTCCCCACACTGGCACGTGCGGTACAACCCGCACAATAATTATCTGAGTCGACGCGTGTGGCGAAAACGAAAGTAGGTATTAAGATCAACAAACCTACAAATTAGCAAAATGTTGCGTCTGTTGTGTTGTGTACAATAATAGACTGGACTCACTGTATTTACATGCATTGTGTGCATTACTATAATTTTATTTTGAAATTCTTGAGTCATCGCAACTAATGCGCTATACTGTATGTAGTAATATCATAATCACACACACACACACACTTGTACTTGTCCGAGTGTAAGAGCAATGCGATGCGATAGCTCACAACCTTGGTATGCGTCACTCGGATGCGTCCAAAAATGTCTGCTTTCTGCACTACATTGTGCAAACGACAAGTTTACGTAACACACCTCATTTGACAATGGCTACGCAACCACGTACTGTTTTGTTTACGACGTAATTCCGTCAACAAATATGTTATTTACTCGATCCGCAATGTCACACTGAGAGCAAGGCCACTATTCAAGTTGCATTCGTTTGTAGGCAGATTGGTAGGCATTACATATTTTTGCATCATCAATGACATAGGTTCCTATTTAAATCCCCTACTTACCAGCTATAAAGATACCCGCGAGTTTACCTTCAATAAAATCGATATTCGATTAGCCTATTTACTATCTGCCGAAGTGCTGAATAACTGAATAGTTCTGTTAACAAGTTGACCGGGCCGTGTTGGACGATTCATGAACACGGTACGAGCTGTGCTCGGGACACGTTTCACTTTCTTTATACGACCACTAGCCTGTCACACTTGTGCTTACCTAGGCTTGACATTCACTTGGCTGTCATGACTCATGCACCTATTACAGATTTCAGGAACACCTGAATCATTTCCTTTTACAAATAAATCTGGCGACTTCTCACTATTGCGATGAACAAGTTCACACATAGGTAGGGACGTAGTACCATACTGGAACACATTTCTGTGAGCTTTGGGTCAGGATGTAAGACACAAGTGGTGACACATAGTTCAGAGCTAGTATTGTGGCAGGAGCTGAACGGGTTCTACATCCCGGAGATGACGTCCGTGGTGTGCAAGAGCGCGGCGGAGATGGTGCGCGTGATGCGCGCCGGCAACCGCAACCGCGCGGCCGGCCGCACCGACATGAACGAGCACTCCTCGCGCAGCCACGCCGTCTTCCTCGTCACCGTCGAGACCGCGCACCGCAAGACCAACAGGATACGGTCAGTACTCACCGCCCCACACCACCGTCACCCGCCGGGACACTAATAATATCATAGTGTAATCAGGCCAAATACCAAATTAACAGGAAAACTATGTGAAACTACATTCTATTTTAAATTCTTTACTGACTGTATCGGTAAAATGCAGGCAATTACTCATTGTTATTGCTTACTCATGTTTTTATTCGGTTCACTTAAAATATTTGGTTTACGGGAGACCTTCATGAAAACACCAGCGACTATATTATGAAATTCTCTTTAATCAAGGGCATGTGGCCATATAACGGTGTCGTTGTCGTAGAATGATACGGTAAAGTTATTAATCTGCGTTGACGCCATAAAAACAAAGCATTTGTATTACTTTACTTATGAGCTTTTAATAGTTAAGTTACCCAGGAGGAATAAAATAGGGCTGGTCGAGTAGGTATGCATGTGGCATTGAATGAACTCGTCTAGACTAGAGTATTGATTAGCCGCGCGATGTATGCCGCGCGAATTATGAAGTCTGGAGAGGTGAGGATGGAAACTGAACAACAACGAACGACTTGTACTAAATTGGTTTACTCATCCAATGAAACAAGGAACATTGACCCGCCTTTGTCCTCCGCCGGGTACAGATTAGACGAAAAACGAAAATATTCAATGCACGAAAAACGTTCATTTTGAAAGATTCTGGGCGCTCCGCCAATTCGCATTTATCTACAAAATGTACCTAAATAATAAAACATGAAAAATACCTAGGTATTGATTTTTACAAAGAACATACGTCGCTCACCATTTCAACTCCATAAGGCTATTGGAACTTTCTGTAATTTTTATAAGTCTTCAATATTTTTAAATGAATTTTTGGCATACTACTTAAATAAGAAGAACCCTCCAGCTTCCAGAGCATCAAACCACCTCAATACTGTACCACTTCCTACTCATAGTAACTTTTGTCAATTATTTTTAATTTGACAAAAAGAGACATGCGTTTGTGTTCCTCGCGGTGTTGTTATGGCTGCTTTACTAATACATGGTGTTTCAAAAACAATGTCGACTCTTTCATAGAGCGATGAAAGAGTACTTACCTACTTAGTGTAGATCAGCACGTAAATTGTGGCAATTACTGGTGTAATGAGCAGTGGTCACCAAGTGTAGCACACGACCCAGTGAGTGGGTGCCGGCAGGCGACGTGCTCCCGACCTATTGTGTGGCTCGCCTTCGCGTACTGAACACGCTCCAACAGAACGTACCACATAAATAAGTTACACATTGATCAAATGTATTCTGTAAGTGTCCGAGCTCCTCCGTATGAGATGAATTACTCTATATATGACACGTACGAGAGCAGTGACGATGAAGACTTCAGGTAAGGTCACATCTATTTGTCTATTGAAGTATACGGTTACCATCCATAGATGCATGCTAGTCACAGGTTCGTGGTGCCGCGTCCCTGTGTATAACTAAACATGGTGCAAATATCCGTAACGTACATGCAGTCGCATGTCCACAATCCACAACCACGTGCCAATAATTATGTAAACATACAAAATGTTATTGTTTGTAAAACAAACAAACTTCCCTTCGTATCATTGCCTACAATCATCCTTCAAATTCGTTCCTCACGAGAGTATCGAGCGCCCCGAGCCGCGCGTCGTATCTAAGCACGGCCAGTAATTCATTCCGTAACAACGCTAATGTATGCACGACAGGGAAGTCACGACACGCCACGTGCGCGCCGGCAAAAACTTAATGCTCACTGTCGTCCGTGAAACATTTGTGATTGTGCTGCAGCTACTAATACAGCCTAGTCATTTAATCGACGGTGGAGGGATGCACCCAGCTATTGAAAAATTCATAACAATTCTAACATCTGACGTCCTGAAATGATAAGCGCGTCAAATACGCGCGCGTGCCTTGCATTACTTAACAATAATACAGCCACTAGCTGTACTACTGCCAGCCGCAACGTAGACAATGAACAAAGCAAGGCTGCAGCAGCGCACGCCCGCACGGTGCACCCCACCACTCGCCGCGCTCGGGGAAACATTACACTCTTACAGCTAATGTAACAAGATGACCCTTTCAGACGTACTATTGTGACCAGCTCGCTCTTGTAACCATTCTAATAATGGGCTGCCTTCTGCCTTCCAACACACAGTTTGAAATAGTGAAAACTTTTTGGAATAAATATCAGAACGTTCGAAATTACCCTGATGTCCATTTGTCCGTTAATTAGTGCCGAGCGAGACTCTGAATGTCCTCAGACTTAACGGTAGAGTTAAATAGACTGATGTTGCGATACATTTATTTAGTGGTTATGAATGTTATGATGCAACGTGCATTGTAGTAGACGTCGCTATGTCATACGCGACGTGTTGCTGAATAACGCTGCGAAGCCTAGTGGCGCGGTACTGGCGGCGGATTAACCTCGTTTCCAGTAAAACGGCGATGGAAACGTGCAAGTGTAACTTGTGCGTATTGATACAAGTTGGCTCGGAAATGGGACTCGGTAATGGGATACAGTAATTAACACACGCAGGAGTAGATCTGTAGACTGCGTGATTTTCGATTTTTCGACGTGTGGTGGAGATCCACCACAATACCATCAAATCCACCAATCGTGAGTCGAAGGCTCTGGACGTCTTGGCTGCTATTTCCTTATTTTTGTTTTGCAAATGATCACGATATCACAATCTTAAATATTTGATGATTTCTTAGAATGCGTGTCTTGTATCGGTGTATTTGGCGTGCTGTTACTACGCTTGTTTATTATTTATTTTCAATCAATATTTTATTGCCTCAATAGAAATTATATGGTCGTTTCGTGATTATACTACCGGCTTTGTTCAGTAACAATAATGAGGTGTGAACAATAGATACACCTACGTCCTGTGATATGTATTCGTCATCAGGAGCATAGTCTAACTCGTGTTCTACTAGTAGTCCTATCCAAATGTTGTACTGTAGTTGGACTCAATGAGTCTCGATATACCCTGTAGTGGGTGGTGGAGCGCGTCGGTGGCTGTGTGTCATCTGTTCTTTACTTATGAAGTCTTGGTACCTACAGTGCGTACCAAGAATGGAGATATTGGCTGTAAACTGAGTGACTAACTAACACATTTCATGTGTAGGCATTGAGTCACTGACTCCTAAGCTGCACGAGATGATCTAATTACAATAATTTATTGCTAAAAATACTCGTCGGGCTGCATTATAACACCAAAAGCATCCACATACTTCGGACCTTTGTATGAGTGTACGCAGTAAATGGACATAAATACAATAAATACTTAATTTGACAGGTCTCAAGTCAATAGATAGCGAATCTAATCTCAAGTCTTGTACTGATACTTGCTAGTGTTCAACACAGAGTATCTTTATGGTCGCAAGTTGAAGTGTTTCGCTTACAAAATATAGATTCGCACTCCAATCCTCCAGCCGTTATCGCAGCGATAACACGTTGATTACATTATAATAAGTCGCGTGTATCGCTCAAGTGAATTCAAATAGGTTTGTTGTTCTACTCAAGTAAACCATGCCCTGTCCGTGATACCTCACGTCCATGTTTCAGTCTACACCACGCACAGGTGTAGAGGACTAGCCAACAGGCGGAATGTTTGTCGGCGATTTACAAGCGGAGGTGTAGCGGTGGCGCGGTCTTTGTAACCTTGTTTTATTCGATACACTGCACATTTGGAACGAATGCTGTCGTTTTTACGATTTTCATTGTTATATGATACAGTACTTCGATGCTTATTGAACTATCTGTTGTTGCAGTACCTACGGTCAGTTCTTGCATCGCGCCATATTCATACACACTGACGAGCACTAGCGCAGCGTTTCCCTCTTTGTATATCACACTACTAGTGTGTGCGATTTGCGAGTAATTGTAATTTGCGTGTTTCTACAATTACAGCAGTAATGACTGGCAGTAGCGAGCCAAGGACGAATTTCGTGTGTTTGTACTTATTGCGGAGGTGATGCATTACCCGAACCACTGCTACTCGGCTCACGCACGCGCTCTGTGATACAAATCACGGTCTATAAATGATGTATGGAGAATAACAGAACTGTTCTAAGTAATCTGCGGTGACGCAGGCGCTGCTCATTGCTTTTGCACTTACAAAATAGCACATTCGTTTACTTCGTATTCATAAAACCCATTTAGTCCGTAGTCCAAGACTTTGACATTGTATGCAAGTTGCAGTGATAATATCTGAAACCTTGTAACCCTTCTAGTCTTCAGTCACAGTCACATATTTGTCATCTGTGTCATGTTTGTCACAAAGATTTTCCTTCGTTTATTTGTTTTTAGTCAAACATTTAAATTAGAGACTTTAGGAACGCTAGCAGTCCTCCATATATGGGTAAAACTGTGTATCTTAGAAACCTTGTTATTATGCCTATCTTCTGGCCTTTTCCCAACTAGGTTGAGGTCGAGAGCGAGTGCTACTCAGATTGGGCCGAATATTGGTGCGTTACGTGCAGGCTGCCAAGTCTTGCAAGCCTCACCCTTATTAAATAATACGAGATCATATTGTGTGAGATGCGCTCCTTCTTCCTGAGCTTTCTACGTCTTGCTCTCTCAAAGCTATCCACTAACCGCGACGGTTCCTCCTCGCTGTAGTCTATACTTACCTACTATTTTACTACAAGCCCTCATACATGGGTATGTTTATTAAGTACTTAAGTTATGGTCAGTGGGTTGGTGACGATACCGCGGTACAATCGAAGTAAATACATGATGTAACGCGCGATACAATGCTCGTACCTATTGAACAAGGTTGTATTTGTTTAGGCGACATTAAACATCACACGCGCCTTCGTTTACACAGTTCTGTAAGTGTTCGGACATATGTAAACATTACATATACGACCGCGTCTTATGTAAGCCGACATACTTCACATACTATGTGCTTGAAGTTGATGTTGTATGAGTAGAGCAGTAGGTCAATTAACAAGCTGTTGCATAGCTTTCAGCTGTTATATTTTGATGACATAAAATTGTCTCTGTGATAACAGTAACAGTACATCGACTACTGAACCGACCCCATTGTGTCTCTCTCTACATATTATACTCTGGACCCTGATGATTAACTGTCTTCTTTGACGGTATGACTACGTGGCAGTGGCAATACAAGTTGAGACAATTTCCTGGCCAGCAGTCACCATATGGCACAGTTTGGCGACGTAATGTATTGTGTACATCGTCTCATTACTCACACTGCACACCAGCCTCCGCTTATCAGTTAATGACCTCAATATTAAGCTACTTATTACGATTCAGGTAGCGATTACACTCCTTTATATTATAGACTTCTTTGCTACTGCCATAGCCCTCGTACTGTACACGATACACAATCCTGAATGGGACATAGGATCACAGGAGGCTAGGAACGTGTTCCTTGAAAACGAAGCACTCATTACACAACTAAGTCAGTCCGTGGTCAGTTCTTGTGTCTCGTCTCTGACTTGTATAGTTTATCAGCCAAAAAGATTTTTCTACAGAGTAGTTGTATTTGAGCTCGTTGTTTGCAATCGATAAACTCAAGGTTACTTCTAACAAAGTAATCATCTACGTGTAATTTAATTTGATCGTTTATATCGAGTAAGTTGTTCAACTGCGGACAAGGCGATACTTAGTCATGTCTAGATGGTATCACGCCAGATGTTTCGACGCTTGCCCCTGCCGCGCCGGGCCGCCGACGCTGCCCACTCTAGGAAATGTAATGTGCTTGTAGCCTAATGTTCAACGGAACTACTTTATTTAGATTAACTTTATAAACGTTATATTTTTATTTTTTGTATCATTTCCGTGTTACGAGTACTGCCCTCGCTTTGCAGTTAGCAGCCTTTACAACGTGCATAATGTAAATACTACTTAAGAGAATTATTTAATACATTCACGATGTCTTCATTGACTAGCGCGATCAAATCATAATTAATTATTATTTACATTTACTATTGAATCGATAAGCACCGAGGTAATGGATTTTATGCACGCCACCAGGTCGTAGGTGTTGTATTAGTAGATAGTATGCTCAGTATGCGCCTACATATCGTAATGTGAATGAAGCTGTGAGTACGACGAGCTCGTCGTGTACAGGCCCGCAGTGGCAGCCCGCGGTGGGTGGACAGCATTGCGGCCGTAGGCAGACCTGTGAGGCAGATATCGCAATCGTAACACTAATCACTCATAGTATCACATGGAGCCACTGTGACGAGCTTGAAGGGCGCACAAGTTAATGCTTAGATACGACTATTCAGTTAGCCAGTAAACTAGGACATACAAGTCTGGCTGCATATAGCCACGCTCTACTGGAAGGTCACAGTATTTAGTGTATTTAATCAGGAAGTGACGACAAATAAACATGTCTTTTTGTAACATTTTTTCCTTGAATAGCAAAATAGAGAAATCCATTTGTAAAATGCGACACGGTGACAACCGCCACTGCTTCAGGCGCTGTGATACATTGCGAGTGTCAGGCAGCCAGATGCGTTGCGTTGTAGTAAGTTACTATTTGTTAGAACAACAATTAACATTTCACCAGTTATAAACCTAATATAATGGGTGACCCTGACACAATTTTGTGCACTGGAAACCTTTACCCGAACCGGGATTTAAACATTCTACCACCGAGTATGTCACGGCATGCTATAGTATAGTGCACTGTCTTGTTTGTTCACGTGCGCCTGGCAGAGAGACCAGCCAGGCACTGCTGTATCAATGGAGAAGCAAATACTACAATATACTACGATCCACCAATAACACATGACACAAGTGCTCGGCGTGTGGTGACCTCAATCTTATTAAAATTAAATAAAAATGAGGCTAACTCGAGTAGGATGACTACGTCTTCTTATACTGGTCTTGATAGACCATCAACCCTTCTGTATGCACTAAGTTTGTAAAAATAATGCCCAACTGGAACTTCCTACAGCCTCCATAAAGTCTGGTTAGAAAGTAGGATAAAACAAAACAGGACAATACACTCGTATTTTGGTAATACACCTCAAAAATTCCTAAATATTACAACTACCGTGAAGTGTCTTTTTAACAGTCTGTAGAGGTAATTGGACCCGAGACAATTACAACTCTGCCTCCAATAATTACAGCCTGCACAACTTGAGCTCGAACAAAGTCTTAGTAAACAGACATTAACCAGTTTGAAGGTTTCCTACTTTACAATAACCAACGAGGAAATACAATAAATAAGTTCTAACTATCTGCAACGATGTTATGTGATGTCCGTGCTATGTACATACCTAGTCGTCACGTTTGTTAGCAGTGTGCACTTGTTATATTCACATATTTACTGATTATTCAAAGTGCAAACATTAGTATACATTTATGTATGGATGGGTACATACTAGATGGTACCGTGGAAAATCGTTTCCAGGTGTCAGGGGACTCATTCACAAATGATCCTGTCCGCAATACGCACAGAGTCATCAGCTACCGACCGCTCGGTCGGTTCACACGCAGCGAGCACCCATCATACACTTACATACGCGTTGTTTGGGAAGCCTACATGATATCAATTGAGTTTCTGATGCATATAATTTACTAGCTACTTCCGCGCGGTTTCACACGCTCTGTTCAGCTCCTATTAGTCGTAGCGTGATGATTTATAGCCTAAAGCCATCCTCGATAAATGCGCTATCCAACACAAGAATTATTTAAATCAGACTTGTAGTTACGGAGATTAGCGCGTTCAAACAAACAAACAAACTCTTCCGCTTTATATAATAGTATAAGATTATTCAACTATACAATACTAGATATGTTTGATACTAGCAGCTTCTGTATTGGAACGGTGGCGCTGGGTTTTGAATTTACTACTATAAATCAATAGTTGTTGTAACGATACGATAACGGCTTGAAACTGATTGTGTATTAGCGAATACATAATTTGCCAATTAAAGAGTTGGCAACCTCCTGAAAAACTAGTGACACTGTCTGACCTCTGCTGGAGGGAATGTCATTGTACAAATAAAAGAAATAAATCGATTTTCCTTCAAGGTCCATTTTCTAATCTTATCAGAACCACTAATCAACAAAGACAAGCTTAGCAAATTATAGTAGTACAGTGTAGTAGGTACTGATTATTTATATTGTGTTTATTATCATGTATTATTAATAGATACTATTTAAATTAAACTTGATGCTCCATCGTCGAGATCGAGTGCAAAACTTACACACCTGTATATATACACATCAAGTATGTATACTTACTTTGGTCGTTCATTCAAGTATGCCTTAATATGAACTTAAGTAATAGTACATTGTCATGTGATTGTATACCGAGCGGAAGCAGTCAATAGAAGAGCGGCGAGCAGCTCCACACTCCCTCGCGTCACATCCGACGTGACACCCAGTGCATTGGCCTCGATCAAAGACATTACACCGATGTAGGGGACCCATCTACTTTCATTTACACATTACTGCACACTAACAACCTTCTACCAAAGACATCTTTATTATGAACAAAACCAGAACTTTAAACTGTATTTCTTCAAATCCAATGTTCCAGTTTCTAGTGTGATAGATTGGTCTGCTATTTAACTCCTGTCTGTGAATTACTCCACAAGCATGCAAAATGTCCTCCATTTTAAGAATTAGCAGCAAGACTGCAAAAAAATTCGTGTACAAGATAATGGAACTCTTACAAGTTATGATTGACCGTTGTGGTATATTTGAGCTCAGGAGATTATTATATGTCATGTTATGTTTGCAGGGTGGGTAAACTGAACCTGGTGGACCTGGCGGGCAGCGAGCGACAGCGCAAGACTGGCGCGTCCGCCGAGCGGCTGAGGGAGGCCTCGCGCATCAACCAGGCGCTGTCCTCGCTCGGGAACGTCATCTCCGCACTCGCGGAGAACAGCCCGCACGTGCCCTACAGGTGCGGGCAAACACTAATATTAAATAGCTCCAAAGTAACCGTTTGAAGACCCACGTCCGACCATTATTAATTGGAAACTATTTTATTTTCTTCTCCTCTTATAATATCTTCTGATTTATTTCGTTGCGGAATATCCTTGTGACGCGCCGGGCTCCAGAGTTCTGGTGTGACGTAAGGTTGTGACAGGCTTGTCCCATTTAAAAACGTTTGTATTGAGATGTCGCCATGTGTTGCAGAGACTCGAAGCTGACCCGTATCCTGCAGGACTCGCTGGGCGGGAACAGTAAGACCATCATGATCGCCAACATCGGGCCCGCCTCGTACAACTACGACGAGACCATCACTACACTGCGGTACGCGCACAGGGCTAAAGGTAAAAAATCACCAGTAAATTGATTTCTTTTTAAATTGAGAGTAGAAAGAATAAGAGCACTGCTCTAGTCTTATCCGTCCGATTATAGGATACTTAAGGGTTGTGTTGTGTTTTCTCTGCTGTTAAATTGTGATTGTCGTGTACCCGCAGCGATAAAGAACAAGCCGGTCCGCAACGAGGACCCGAAGGACGCCAAGCTGCGCGAGTACCAGGCCGAGATAGAGCGCCTGCGCGCGCTCATATCGCAGCGCCGGCCCGTCGACCGCCGCCCCCGGAGGCCCGCCCGCCGCGCGCCCGCGCCCGCAGACACCTGTACGTCTGGCTCTGTGCTCGCTTACGGAAATATAATACTGTCTCGTGACATCAACTCGACAATGATTGACGTTGTTATTTTCTTACTTCCAGCTGAAGAGGAGACAGTCAGTATAGAAAACGAAAACATACTGGCCGAGTCTACGATAGAACAAGAGAAGAAGCAGATGGAGGAGCTAGAGCAACAGATCCGTGCGCTGGAGGAGCGGCTGGTGCAGGGAGGCGGAGGGAAGGACCTCATCAATAACCTTAACGAGGCACAGCTCATACTCGAGCAGAGGAACAGTGAGATCACAGAGCGCAAGAAGAGGGAGGTCGAGATGCAGCAGAAGATAGAGCTGGAGGAGGAGACCACCGCCATCGTCACCAACACCTTCGCCACGCTGCAGCAGGAGGTCGACCACAAGACGCAGCGGTACGTGTGTGTGATACAACATTTTCACAAAATGTTGCCTTTTTTTATACCTTTATTAATTAAGAGTCTTTTGATCACAAAGACCATGCCAGACCCGTCATTCCGTCAACAGATTTAACAAAACTTACATCCACCAGCAAGTGGTGGACATCCTCCATAGTGTCCCACTCTGCACAGTTACGACTGGGACTTTTTCCCATGACGTGTTTAAACTTGCTGAGTGGAACGTGACCAGACCGAAGTCTATGAGCTATTATAATATATTTTCTATTAATATTACAGTTGGAAAACCAGGGAATACGCGGGGGCTCACTTTGTTTCCTTAAGAAAGCACATTTTTGTTTGTGAACAAAATTTATTTTCGACCACTACGGTCGAAAATAAATTATATTGTATATTTTAAACTGCGGACTCTCCGTCCTCGTACCGGCCCATCGCGCTGCGCGAGGTGGGGAAAGTCTTCGAAAGAATAATTTCGAACCGCCTCGTCGCGCACCTGTCGGATGTTGGGCCGGACCTGTCGGATGTTGGGTCGGACCTGTCGGATGTTGAGCCGGACCTGTCGGACGGCCACTCGGCACGGCGCTCCACGGTGGCCGCCATCATGCGCGGTAGGAACCGGACGACGGGGACTGCAGTTCCGCGCGTGCCTCAAATAGCTATCAGACCATCACGGATGAGGCCCAATAGGGCTGATGCCCATATTGAGCCGCGGAGAACTTAACGGATTACCGGGGCTATGGTTCGAAATGCAGGAGTAGGAACGGGGTGGTTTTAAGTCAGTAAGAGTCTGACACTCTCTCCTGCCTTACCCAGGCGGGAGAAGACATTCGATGATGTTCCACCCTTAAAAAAATAAAAATGTATACTTTAAAGTCTATTAAACTGTCAAACACCAAGCGGTCACCGGTGACCGCAACCTATTGTTCTATAATTGTGTCTATAATGACGGTACTCGACGAGTTAAATTTAAATGCATCTTTGTTTGGTATAATTGGAGGGAAAGGAAATATTTCGGGAAAATTTTTCATTTCAATAAAAAAATGATATGTGGCCAACCGTGACATTCGGGACGAAGGGTTTTGGAATAAAAGGTAGCTATTGAGTTTCCAAATGGGTAATGCAGGGTGTGTGTGCAGGCTGAAGAAGTGCCTGGCGCGGTACGGCGGCCTGCGCGAGGAGATGGTGGAGCAGCGCGAGGCGCACGACGCCGAGCGCCGCGAGCTGGAGGCGCTGCAGGCCGCGCTCATCGCAGAGCTGCGCCGCCGTCTGCTCGTCGCCGACAGCTTCGTGCCGCTGGCCGGCCGCCCCGCCGTGCTGCGCGCGCGGTACAACGACGACACCGACGCCTGGGAGCTGCGGGACCACGCGTGCGGCACACTTTATATCTTTGTTATCTAACTAACAGGCTTTTTTTGCTTAACTCAATCTATTAATACGGTGCTCAAAAAGTTCCCTATCTAAATGTACCGCGTGTGTACAGGGGTGTGGAGCCACTGTCGACGCGGCCCGGGGCCGCCGGGCGCCGCCGGGGCTCCAGCGCCCGGCCCGCACGGCGCCGCGCTGAAAACGTGTTGGACCTGACGCCCATCCCCCTGCCCGCCACCACGCGCCTGTACTCCGCGCCGCGGCTGGCGCCCAGCCTGGCGCCCGCGCTGGCGCCCGCGGGCCGCAAGGAGGAAGTGGAAGCGGTGGCCAGTGTAGCGACGGTGGCGGTGGCGGGGCGCAAGTCGGCGCGCGCGCGGCCCAGCACGGCGCACCACCGCCTGGGCACGGCCGGCGTGCGGTAGTGCGGGCCGCCCCGTGCCGCCCGTGCCGCCCGTGCCGCCCGTACCGCCCGGACCGCCCGTACCACCCCGTGCCGCCCCACGTCGTGTCTCCGTGTACGTTCCGGTCGCGTCCGGCGTCTCCGCGGAAATGTGTTGAAGTACATTTCTCGTGAGAGAGCGACGCGTACTCGCGATGCCCCCGCCCTTGTTGTAAGTTTTATACAGTCCGATCGATCGAACCCGGAAGCTTGCCACGCTTGCCGCCCGCCTGCGACGTCGACGTTTTATTTTAGAGAATATATCGGGCGACCGTCGCCGCAGTGCTCGCGGTCGTCCAGTGTCCCAGTCTCCTAGTGCAGTGAGCTCCCAGTCACAAAGTCCAGTAGCGAGGCGCCGGAGGACGTCGCGGCGACGCGAGCCTCATCATGATCTCACTTCATTTCCCAGTATTTAAAAGACAAAGATTCCTTTGTATATTAATTTGAATACATAAAGTGTATGTATTGTATAGGTCGTAGCTACAAGTTGCACGCTCGAGTCAGGCGAGACGTCGCTGCACACTGCTGCTCGTATTGTTTAGGTTGTTGTTTGTTTTATAAGATTTTATTTTACCATTGTTGTCTCTTTTGTTTTTGTAAAATTTTATTTTGTGCCTCGGTACCAACACAATGTTCGAGCTAGTGATATTAGATAGTTTACATTTACAACGATTGAAATTATGCCGTGGAGCGCGTTGTTGGTATTGTCGATCCGTATTATAATAATGTATTATTTTGAAGGCTTTGTACATAGAGGGGATGTGATGCAGTACTGTATGTTCAAACAAGTTACCAAAGAGTCCGCCGTCCTCAGTCGGGCAGAGCTCCGCTCGGTGCTCTCGTTTCATTACGTGTAAATTTATTTGTGGATATGTTGATAATTATAATTTCTAAACAGTTTCTAGTCAATGATGATGAATTATATTCTTGTATACAAAATATTGTAAATAAAGGTATTTTAGGTATTTGAAAAGTATCCTTAATATCGAGTATGAAATAGAGTAAGTAGGTTGCTAATTAGCGCACAATACTTTTTGAATACCATTTGTAACTACTGCCATAGTCATACTGCGCGCATATCGGCAGTGCCAGTAGTGGTTAGTGGTGGTCACTGGTGGCCAGTATTAGTCATTGGTGGCCAGTGCCGTGGTGGTAACCAGTGGCCAGTGGTGGCAGGCCGGTCGAGTGGCGCCAGACATTGGCAGAGTGCGAGTGCGTGGATCTCACAAGACACGCTCACGTCGCCCACATTTCTACTTGCTTTAAATTTAATTAAATCATTTTATATTTTGGGATTGTGAATTATTTTTAATGTATTCCTTGTATTGGCTTTATATTTAATTTAATTTAAATTATGAATGAAGAGGATCATGTATTGTGATATTTATAATTTGGTAACTGCTAGTCAGTCGTGCCGCATACACGCTTATACTCACTAATGAAATAAACATTTTAAATTGTATGTCTTTATTTATTTGTACTTTACCCTGAACACTTTACACCATGGCCATGGCCCATTGCACTATTGACCACACTGACTTGACTTCAAAGTCAGCCCAGCCAGCCCAGCCAGGTGCGGTGGCTGGGCAACCGGCTGCCGTGCCACGTGTCGCGGGTTCGATTCCCGCACGGAACAACACTTTGTGTGATCCACAAATTGTTGTTTCGGATCTGGGTGTCATTGTGTATGTGAACTTGTATGTTTGTAAACGCACCCACGACACAGAAGAAAATACTAATGTGAGGCAACATTTTTTTTTTAAAAAAAAGACGATAACGATGATTCTCGACTGCAGTGCAATGTGTCGCGGGTTCGATTCCCGCGCACAAAATTATTTGTTTGATCCACAAATATTTTTCCAGGTCTGGGTATGATCATCACAGAAATACATTTAATTTATACAATTTACAGAAACTACTTCGTCACCTATAAGATAAACGTCCCTCCTCTACATATAAGACGCCCTCTATCGATATCCCCGTGCATTTTACTCGATTCAATTTTCCAAGGCGTCCAAACCATTTTAACATTCCTTTAATTTTTCAATCCTTGTCATTTCTTCTTGTAATTGCAACCGTTCATGAGCCAAGATAACCACTGACTATCAGGTAGGCCGTGTGCAATTTTACCAACATCGTGGTATAAAAACAAATCTACACGTGTGTAGTAGGTAACTCCTCACGTTATTTCACTCAATCAATCTTCTCACATTCTATTTCTAAGGGTGTTTTTAATATCGTGCGGATATCATCACGCGTGCGGGATTGCCCCGCATGCGTAAGCCCCGCAAATGTCCTTTTCATAAAAGTATTTATTATAATGCGTGGAATACGGACGCGGGACGCGGGCATTATAATAAATACTTTTATGAAAAGGACATTTGCGGGGCTTACGCATGCGGGGCAATCCCGCACGCGTGATGATATCCGCACGATATTAAAAACACCCTAAAAGTACTCATCTCTTCCTAGTTGATTACACATTTGTATTACTGTTTCAATGGTAAACCTACAACGACTAGTGAACTCAAGGACTCTAATTGGCGCTAAAATAATTTATAACTTATATCCTTCTTAGAACCGCATATTAAAAATCAGTTCATCCGTTCAGCAGGTACTCTACCACAGACTAATTGACATTGGTTAGTGTGTGTATAACTATAATCTAAGGACTTTGCATATTACTAACGAAGACCAATATCTCTAGGCTTGTCTGGCAGGCAAAGTTCCGGACGTATGGCAACCCTGACCGGGTATTTTACTTCAACTGACAACCGATGATTGTTACTACCTATTGTTCAGGGTCGTGGAATACCTCGGGCAAACTAGGCAAGTACCTAGGGCGCTAGCTTGCAGAGGGGCACCGCGAGACGCGCTTTCCTAATTGCCCATTACCCAAGTGACGGCGGCGCAAAAAAGATAAAATGTGCTTGCCTAGGGCGCCCTCATGGCTAAACCCGCCTCTGCTCTTGTGAGACTGGCCTACTAAGCATCATAAACGTTGCGCCATCTAGTGACCAAAAAATGGTAGCCCCATTTCTAGTGATGTCGACGACAAGTTTGAAACAAGCCAAATCTGATTTAAATTAATTTAAACAGATGTCGTCTGTGGAGAATTTGATTAATTTTACTGTTAGAAGAATTATACGTAATTTTCTCTAATATACAAAAATAACAATTTGTCAAACTATTGTATTCAAAATCCAAACTATACAAGTTTATTACTCAACAGTTTTAATTTTTAGATGATAGTAGTAATGCATAGATGTAATAATTAATAATTATCATAACGAGTAATGCCACTGGCTCACCTCTAATGTAAGACACAGAATTAAAAAAACTATGGTTTCTAAACGAACGATTATCAATTGCTATTTCTAAACAGCTTGTAGTGATGTGAATATACGATAATAATAAAAATCCTAAAAACTGTCGTTGTCTTCGTTGGATTGGATTAGGGTATTTTTAAATATTTTTACTTTAAGATATCGCGATCGTATTTCGTATTTATAACCTGTAAAATTAATAACACAATACTATTTTATGAAAACATATAGCTTTCAGATAGAAATCCACTGTTTTTAACATATCATTGATATATGAAGTACTAGTCTTGAAAACGTGATACAGCTCGCTTGAAAAAAAAAGTGTTTACCGCGGTGACAGCTTGAACTAATGTTCATTTGGACTGAAGTACCTACTTCGGCCTATATACCACGAATAAAATAACAATCATCTGAACATAGTACCACCTCCTCTTTTTTAAACTAGATAAAAATAACAAATATTGTAATATCAAAACCGATTGAGTTGTAGCGTATCAAGTTGCCACAGGTACGATACTGGCGACCTCAATTATTTCAAACTCTTTTTTGCCATGTATGTCTTGCACTTCACTTACTCACTACAGAATTTGCCGTGATTAGTAAAGAAATATATACAGGTACGGATAAAAATAATATTAAGTATTTTAGTATTTGTACAAAATTATGAAGTGATAGACAAAATGAATCTATGACGGTTATTAGGAAATATCGATTCGTTTAAATATGGCGTCAGTACACCACTAGTTCTGTAACCGTCAACAGCATTCAAAAGTACGGTGGCTTTGTTATACTCGCAAAATGTGAAATATTTTATTTTAATTTAAAGTAACCAGAATAATGGCGGAAAAATTAAAGGATTATCAAGTTATAGACGTTTTCTGCGGTGGTACGTTCTACAAAGTGAAACACAAGGTCACAAACAACATATTTGCGTGGAAGGCGTACGATTGCTCCGCGTTCAGTAACGAACAGATACAAAACGTTGCAAATGAAGTGAAAACAATAAGTAAAGTGACATCGAAGAACTTATTGCGATACTACGACACCATTTTCCATACTCCGTCAAAAACATTGTACTTTGTCCTTGAATACAATGCATGGCGAAGTGTGCAAGAATTGATAGAAGTCTGCAAGGCCACTGACAAGTTCATAGCCGAGAGTTATATCTGGTACCTGCTGCACGAATTGGCTCGAGTCTGCAAGGCAATCGAAGACATACACGTCCTTATAGTGCAAAAATGTATAACGCCTGGATCCATCTTTGTGAACGAAAGTGGCGAGTTGCGCATCAATTGCTTCGAACTGACTTCGTCTACGGAGCCCTCAGATGTATTGCGTCAGGTCGCTGAAGTAATTCATACGCTGTGCTACAGGCCTGGCACTAACAAGATAAAGGAGTTTCCCTACAGTGATGATCTCAGGGACATTGTAAGCTTTCTTATGGACGAGAGGAATGCCAACATGCGCCCAGATGTCGTCCTATACCATCCTACTGTTCTTATGAACCTGGAAACAAAAGTAAAGCCTAAATGTTTGAATGAAATAATCATCTCGGGTGATCATTCTTACACAACTTCCGAGGTGAACAAATGTGACTCAGAGAAGGCTGGGGAGTTATGCAGAGCTGTTGAGCCTCTACCCAGGACACTGTTTAACATAGTGGACAGTCCTATTTACTGCAACATCAGTCCGAAGAGAAAATCAGACATAGAAACAGCTCAAGCAAGCTCGCCAACCAGTCCCCTGTCCCCTACACTGGCTGCACTCGCTCTGGAGTTGCCTGGCTTTGTTCCTCGTAGCAGGAGACCCTTTACTGACACATTAGACACATTCAACTGTCCTCAGCAGGTGTCTGAAGAAACTCTCAGCCAGCAGTGGATGTCACGTCTGATTGCGCTTCGCCACCGCGAGGAGTCGCTCAATAAGAGAGAAAGGGACCTGGTAGCCAAGGAAATACTGAATAGTCCATCTACTAAAATAATACCAAGCAGGGCCTCCTTGGACTTGGCAGGTGAGGGTGAAAGTAACGGTATAACCTTGCCTCTTATGCTGACACAAGCTAAAGATGATAGACGAGATTGGGTATCGCGGCGACGGCGCCCACGGAGCACTTCGGTGCGCTCCAAGGGTCGCAGGAAGAGTTGTGGATATGAGGATCTGGACAGCTCACTGTCAGCTGACGCCGGAGATGGCAGCATCATCGTGACCGGCGCTAAGTTCACTGCAGACAACATGCCGCGCCGCAACATCTTCCCCGAGGTGTCCACTAAGAAAGTGCACTTCACATCCAACAACCCATTCACAGAGAGTGATGACAGTGTTACTTTAACTTTTTATGAGTTGGACAATGTGGATGCAGAAGGGTATCAAGTGCCGAGGCAGGATGCTCTAGCTAAAGACATCAGCAGATTTAAATACTTGGACTTGAGGAAATCCACTTCTGAAAAGAGAGCTTCAATGCAGTGGGGTCATTCATCACCTTCCAAAGTAGCCAAGACAAGCAAGAATGTGTTTGGTGACATCACAAACATCAATCCTGGCAGTATGAGGAAGACCCCTTCTAAAACGAGCCTCACTTCAAGGAGTTCCAACACATCGAGGCAGTCCATGTTCTCCTGCAGGAGCCATTGGAGCATGGAGTCCACCAGTACCAAGGTGAGTGATGGCAGTATATCTGAGAGGACTCGCTCTGCCATGCGGCAGTGTGTTCCACAGACTCCTGTGGCTCCACCTGATGTTAAGAAATCTAAAAGTCGCAAGTCACTGCTTAACTTTAAAACACCTTTCAAATTCATGACTTCCACGAAAATTTGATGCAAGAACCCAGAAGTAAGTTTTTATAATATGTATATCAATTTGTGATTGTAAATTTGATCTCTGATGAAATTTATTTTTGTTAGTTGTATTGTAGCAGTAAGGCAATATATAAATAGTCCTGTATAAGATATCCAGTAGCATTTGGTTGTGGTTCTCTATGTAGTGTAACATTAGTTAGTGATCTACTTGTTTTACTAAATATTATTATAGAATCTAATATTTCTATGATTTGACATTTTATTAGTACTTAATGAAATGAGATACGGACATCAACCCACCCTAACCTTAGAATAGTGAAATTATATAAAAGAATATTTTT